CATTTTAATTTTTTAAAAAGACGTTTAACTTTTAGTTCAGAGGCAGATAAGAAAAAGAACTTCATACTTTTCTGTTTTCAATTACAACATGAACAAAAGTTTGGACTATTTTATAGAAATCATTTGCAAAGGAAAGAGCGCTTGTGATTTCCCTTAATAGGGAATTAGCACTGCTACATTTTGACTCAAAAGGCTACCTACATTGATTCAAGATTGTTTCCTGAAACGTGAAATTTAAATACACCATTTCTCTTCCCTACAGTACTTGTGTTAAATAAACCCTATTTCCTATTGTAGGGATATTAAAATTGATTTTATTACCTATGATGCACTTTAAATTGTTTTCCTTCATAATCAAATAGTTTCTTTCCCTTAAGATTTAATTTCTATGCATAATCTCACTCATATAAAGAAATACTACATGAAATAGTTTAACTGTTGAATATTTCACATAATTCAACTTATTCTAATACTTACAAGCACACTTATAACTTAAAACTTCACATAGATGGAGTTGAGTATCGTAAGCTGACACTTAAACTTCTTTCATTTATTGACACAGTGAAGATTTAAAATGAGTTTAAATGATCTAGAGAGAATCGTATATGGCAAAATTCAACTCTCTGAGATGTGAACAGATTAATTTATGAGAGGTTTTGCATTCTAATCACACTTTTGAGATGTTAGACATAAATAACTTTATAATTTTTTTAAACTGTTACTGGAAGACTTTTAATCAAATGGCTTATAATCAGATCTTAATGTCCTAATATATGCTATATTCAAACTTCACCCTTTCTGATATTAATAAAAGTATACCTTCTTTCTCTGTTTTTCTACTTCAAAATTTTCACAAGATTTCGTACTTCACACGTAGTTAAGCCAGTTCAACATGTGTTTACTGGTTTTTTGCTTATGCTAACTTATCTACGAAAAACAGTCGCATTAAACATTGAAACTGCTTTGTTCATGAAGGTGGAATCTGAGATTGCAGCCATGACCAGACAGTGGTTCCCATTGGTTTAGCTTGTTACTTTTGGGGTATTGATGATCTCCCCACTCTTACTGTGAATTTGCAAGGCAGTTAACTGAAGCTGGGGCTAAGTACCAAGCCATCTGGCCCACAAAATCTCCTGATTTCTTAGCCCAGTGTTCAGCCTAATAGATGGTATATGTCAGCGCAATGGGGGATGTTAATATGAAGGACAGAATATGAATTAGCAATAAATTAAATGTATACAGCTGATAAGCTACAGTGAAACATTCAGAATCATCTTTTTTATATTTATTTCTAGAAAGCAAGATAAATCATTTCATTTTATTTAAGAGGACATGGCTATTTTCAACATTACTAACATACACAAGGAGACTGTTCTTCCCCTTCACGGAAGGGATCTCTCTTTGAAAGTGTTTACATAAAATTTTCAGGGACGAGGAATACATCTTGGCACAAAGTAAACTACCTTATTCAGAAGAGAAATTATGATGTTTATCTTTGGGAGCACTGCCACCTCAAAAGAGCCCTTCTAGTCACCTTATAGTGTATTCTTTTATTTCATGGGTGGAAGTTGAGAGCTGAGTCTGTGTTTATTTGCGTTCTTCTCTTGACCTAATGCCCCCCAATGCCCAATGCCTTAAAGTCTAATCTCCTTTAAGAATATAGTACAGTTATACCCTATCAGTTGGTTATCTAGTATTTCTCACTGCTCCCTCACACAACCTCTAGTCAGGCCACTTGCTTTGGTGTCCTGTGAAAACACGTGGCCTCCTGTGTTGTAAACTTTTCCTGGAATGGCCTTTCCCCCAAATGGCCTTTTCGCATCTGTTCATTTAAATCCCAACCTATTCTCTAAGCCCTGGCTCAAGTTCTGTGTCTTCTCAGGGCCTCGCTACATCATCAGCTCCAAATGCTCTCTTTTTGAAATGCTGAAAACCCTTCTTCATGATTTAGAATTTAATGCAATACTAAAGGATTTCACTTGCTATTTTTCATATGTATTGATCTTATCTTCTTACGTAGGAGAAGGCAAGATGTTCTTTGAGGGCACAAATCACACATGATCTTGCTATGTCCCACAAAAAATATTTAGGAAATTTTTTAATAGATAAACTTTTACTGAATGTGACGTGACCATAAATTCACTGGATTAAAAAAAAAATCAAATTTATGTCACAGAAAACAAAAAGGTGAGTGACCAAACTGTTAAGTGGTGATAAGATAAGTTTTGGATGAACTGTTTTAAGCCATGGAAAGACATGGCCAGTGCCTTCTAGATTTACAATTGGCCCTTAGTATCCTTGAGGGATTGACTCCAGTCTCCCCTGTGGATACCAAAATCCTTAGATGCTCAAGTCCCTCATATAAAATGGCATAATATTTGCATATAACCTAAATACACCCTCCTGTATACTTTAAATCATCCTTAGATTGCTTATAATACCTAATACAATGAAAATGCTATGTAAATAGGTATAAATACAGCATAGGTAATATATAAATAGTTGTAAATACAATGTGAATGCTATGTAAATTATTTCTGGTGCGTGTCAAATTCAAGTTTTGCTTTTTGAAACCTTATCGAATATTTTCAATCTGAGGTTGGATGAATTCATGGATGGGGAACCTGTGAATATTGAGGGCCAACTGTGGATTGATCTTTCTAGAAAAACATGAAGGTTTAGAGGAGGAAATGCTAACATTTTGCTTTACTATAGAACACTAATTTCAAACACTTTTAAAGAAAAATATTCATTTCAATAGGTGGCTAGTGTATAAAATTCCTGTAATTTCAAAAGATGTATAAGAGTGTGACTGTTCAATTTGTTGTCGTTCATTTAGTCTAAACTGTATTCCAGCTATCGATGTACTAAAGAGAATATATTCTACAGTAACAAGATGAATTCATGCATATTTTACCTTATTTGTATATGTCAAAGCAGAGATAAATTTTATTACCTGTGATTTCTGCTTAGAAACTATCTTGTGGTTAGATGTTTTAGAAGTTGCAGTATACAGGCATACTTCATTTTATTGCGCTTCATTTTCTTATCACACTTTGCAGATACTGCATTTTTAACACATTGAAGGTTTATGGCAACCCTGTGTCAAGGAAGTCTGTCGATATCATTTTTCCAACAGCATTTGCTCACATCGTGTCTCTGTGTCACATTTTAGTAATTCTCACAGTATTTCAAACTTTTTCATTATTATTATATTTGCTATAATAATCTGTGATCAGTGATCTTTGATGTTACTACTCACTGAAGACTCAGATGATAGCATTTTATAGCAATAAAGTATTTTTTTAATAAAGTATTTTTTGATTAAGGTATGTACATTGTTTTTTTAGACTTAATGCTCTTACATGCTTTATAGACTATAGTATAGTGTATACATAACTGTCATATGCATTGGGAGACCAAAAAATTCCTGCTACTTGCTTTATTGTGATACTTGCTTTATTGCAGTGGCCTGGAATTGAACCCGCAATATCTCTGAGGAATGCCTGTATTGTGACTGCACCTATTATGTTCAATTAGCATCTATCAAATTGGATTTTTATTAACTATCTGAATAACTTATTTTCTCAGAAATCAACACTATCACAATTACTAATGTGTGTCAGTTTTCATTCTTTTGAAGAATAAATATAAATGAGGATGACATATTTAATAATAATCCACGTAGGGTATTTCTAGAGAAAAGGCTATGTTAAAATGAGGCAATTTTGAGTTTTCAACCAGCACAGAGTGCTTATTCACCTTGGCTACAGAGGACACAAGGCCTTAGGATGGGAGGGTTTCCCAGGCATCCTCTGCAGCATAAATCACAGTGGGCACAAATGGCAGTGCTGTCCAGCGATCCCACAGCTATTCTGTTTCACTGTCATGTGGCCTGGCAGTAAGAAGCTCTTGAAGGGTTTTCGTCTCATGTGGGGTTTCCCTTTGGCTTAGGCTTTCCCCTTACATAATGATGAAACAAAACTCTGTGACTGAGCAATAGGTGTATCACCTGATTTCTTGCCTAATCATCTCTTAGTCCCTATTTTTTTGAGTTGCTTTACATAGGCTTCCACGTCACTTGCATGTGACACACAGTGACCAAGCAGCTGGCAAAAATGCCAGGAGAGTGGTATGGAAGCCCATATGTACAGCACACAGACCCTGTTACACAAATGTGATTGTGAGTGTGGCAGAATTCTTACAACTTGCTACCACATTGCCCCCTCCTGGGCAATCCGATCATGGGATTGTGGCACAGGAGAAAAGACCTTTGTCCTCCATTTGGCAAGAGCCAGACCCTTATTATGCCCAATCAGGGTGCCATGGTTTAAGAAGATTGTGGAGAAACTGGATATGATTGAGCAGTTTGCACCAAAAACGATTTCCTGTTGAGAGGTTAAGAGGTGGGGCTTTACGATTTAGAAGAGAAATGGATAAATAAGAGCAGACTACTTCAGGTACACAAAGGTTTAGTGTGAGGAAGACTGAAAATTGTTCCCCATCTCTACTCATGACGGATCAGAAAGTAAGGAGCTTTCGTGGTTTGGGGGAATTTAATAGAAGCTATCACTGAAGGTCATTTGAACACCTTAGCCTCACTCATGCATTGGAGAAATGCTTGTATTCTCAGCACTTGGCCTAACAATGGGAGAAAAGAGAGTAAAATATTTCATTCCCTTCCTTTTCTATGGGTAGAGCTGAAAATGATAGTTATCATTAGAATATTTTAATAATAATAACAACACTGCCAACACTTACTGACCTATGATACGTGAGGCACTATTTTGGGACTTTAACTCATTTAATCTTTGCAATGCCTGAGGCACACAGCCTATTATTATCCTCCTTTTAGAGATGAGGAAACTGAGGCTCAAGAGGTTTAAGTAAATGACTAATCACACACAGCTGGTAAGACCTCAATCCAGACAGTCTGATTCCAGAGCTCTAGCTTTTAGCTACCACGTGATACTGTCTGATCTTTATTTTTTCCTCCACAGATATTTTAACACTCAACTAGGAGCCGCAAAAGAGAAGACAGAAAAAAGAGTCTCTGAAGGTTCGACAGAAGAAGAGGTGAATAGCAGATAATCATGGCATCTATTCCGTATTTATGTCTAAGACAGGTTCTTGAATTCTAGAAGACTTTTCTTAAAAAACAAACGTGTACCTATGATAATAAAGTGACACTTGTCTGATTTGATAATGGTGGCTGTTAGTGGTGGTAATAAGAATCTAAATATTTTTAGTAGTCAGAATGATAAAAAAAAGAAAAAGTTTAGTTTAAACATCAGTAGTTCTGGGCAAAAACAACAGCTCTTTCAGTGACCGTGTGGTCTTAGGTCACTTATACACATTATTCATGACTTAGCTCCTGTGAAATGTGGCTTATGCCTCCTATGATAGCTCTAAAGGCAAAATTGTATACTGGATATGAGAGCCATTTGAAGATTGTAAAGCTGGGTTCAAATGAAAAGCTCGATGATTTTACTAAGAAAGTAATACTAATTTATTAGTAAACATTATTAATATCAGTTTATTAACAAACTACCCTGCAGTAGTTTCATTTTACGAGAGCAGACCATAACGCTTGAGGTTATTTATGGCAACGCCTTGATGTCGATCCCTCTGTCTTAGAAATGCTGCCTCCTCTAAGAAATCTTGCCCCTCCACGCACTGAGCACGTGCTTCTCATACTCTGATTATGGGTTTACTTATTAGTTTGCATGATTGTCCCTCCTAGTGGACTGTGAGTCCCTAGAGGCAGTGGCTATTTTCTGTTAAACTGTGTATATCCCAGCAGAGAGCTCACTACATAAATACACAATAAATTGTGTAGAAAGAATATAATCCAAGAAGACAGAGATTATGTTTTCCATATCATTCTTCCTATATTTTATCCAAGTATGGTGCTCTGGTATATGAGGCATTGAATTGCTGAATAAATAGATTACATATTTATTATTTAAAGCAACTGCTACATAGCATTGCTAGATTAAAAAGTTTGACTTGTACCAATCTACTCTGAAAAGCAAGCACCTCTCTGACAAGGGCAAAGGAGAGTAAATTCGGAATGTGACCATAAAGCAATGGGACTAATTTACACTTGTAATTTGTAAAATCCATCTCCTTATTTTAGTCACGTCTTGTAAATTAAGAGAATTACCTAGATGTCTTATAGCTTTAATGAGTAAATCATATATTTTAAAAAAGCTGAGTTCTTTAGCTGAAGGTATCTCCAGCCAGTGTTAAGGGAAGCATCACACAAATTCAGTGAAACACTTTACGGCTCTAAACCTTTCTTGTCTAATATTTAAGTAAATAACATCATTCTGCCCATCAAAGTCAGAAATCCCACCTACAGCACAAATGGACAAGTACAAAAATAGTGCTAGGTCAGTCTACTTTTATGGAAGGGGATTTCTCCTACTGCCTGATGGCAACAGTAACTATTTACTGAACTGTACACAGTCTCAGGGAGTTCCTAACGTACTGTACTGGTGTCTGATATCAGGGACTCCTCCATGTTCAGGAGAGGTGGACATTAATCTACATTCTCAAATATGGTTTTTATCCACACAATCTGGAATGCAGCAACTCAGTCACAAGAGTACATTTTTTTCTAATTTTTGTTGTAATATGTCAGTTTTTAAATTTATATTTTAAACAAAGGCACAACAGAACATGCTTTCATTTGGTTCACGCCATATTGATGCCATGTGTTTAATGTATGAACTTGTGCCAAAACGTCTTCTTCATCTTCACTTAGCTGTGTGTGTATACACACAAATAAACATGTGTGTGAAATAAATTATATAAAATATTCATACCATATTTTCTAATACTGTTATATATATGTGTGTATAGATATGTACTATAATCTAAATAGGTGCTTATAACTACAGAATAACTACAACACCATTTACTTAATTTTTAAAGCAGTGGTGAGAATAATTATATGTTATATAGATAGATATATAATACATGTAAATATACCTCATCTCCCTTTATATATATTTAAATTTACATTTTAGTTATTGTGATTATAGATAGAGTGCATAATTAAGTTAGTGAGCACTGCTCAGAACTAAGGAAGTAAATAAAGATCACAGAAAATCAGCAGGTATTAAGTGCTTTATGACTCATTAAGTAAATGTGTTTACCTTTCATTTAATATGCAGAGGTTTTCTAAAAAGTAAGTTGGTGTTTATTTTATTTTTCATTTACTGATTACATAACATATTTCACTTTGTTGCAAACTCTGTTGTGCTGAAATGAGAGTATCTGGTACCAATTTAGGAACAATAATGATTAGAGAGAGAAGAAAAGAGAAATCTTAATCTAGGAGAAAAGATTAAGAAGGAAGACAGGACTCTCAAAAGCATTTAAAGAGCAATCACCTACCAGTTCTACTCGTCCGAAACCTCCAACTCCAAGGGTGTCAATGATGTTGAAATCAGACAGCTTCAGGTTGGCGAAGAAAGCAGCTTCAGCTTCATATCTGGAGTTTTTGATGCGAAAAAATGGAAATTTCTTAGAGGTGGAAACACGAGTACCACGTACAACTGTACCGGAATGACATGACTGTGAAACAGGGTTTACCTGCTTAAACTCCATCTTGCTTTTAGAGTCTGCGTTTTCTCACACTCATAATGTTTTGGTCCCAGTTGTGCAGAATAACATAGATTTGCACTTGTATTTCAGAGTAGAAAAATACAAAGTACCCACTGCATGTCAGTCATGTGACTGATAAATCCAGTTATCAAATCAAATTTACATCTCAGTGTTTTTCTATGCGTCTTCTTGTGAGCACAGATTGAGTTGTTCTTTTTTGGTTTTGTTTTGGATTTTTTGGTTTTGCTTGGTTTTGTGTTTGCTGTTCAGATTTTGGATGGCGGTTTCTCATCAGTTTCCCTTATCCACAGGCTGGCAGTGGCTCCTATTAATGTTTATTAAAAGCGGCAAGATCATTGAGGTCTCTGGAGTGAAATCACGGCCAGGTTTTATGAAAACAGATCCGAAAAGCTGAGGACTGATGTGAAACTGTCTGAAATGGATGATTTCTGAAGCATATTCACATTCCTAAAAAGTGTCTTCCCTTCATTTGTGTTTACCCACTGACTCTCAGCTAGTAATTCCAGTCTTTATGCTTGCCAGTTTCTTAGATGAGTGGGGTGAAGGAGCACAGACTAGCCTCCAAAAATTCAACTCTAGGCACATGCAAATTGGACACATGCAAGTGGCCAAAATAAGCTTCCCCTGATGAGACAAGTGAATATGAGCTGCTTAAAATATCTCCTTATTAAAGCCCCTACTATTTTTAGAAAGGGCAGTAAGGCATAAAGATGATGACCCTCCCACTCACTAAAGTCAGGTCAGGGAGTAATTCAGCTGTCTCAGAAATAAAGTATTTGAAGAGCTATGTGTAACCCATGACCTTCAGCCAGGCGGTACCTGATTCAGTAGTATGCTATAGATAGACATGATGAACATGCTTGAAATAGTGACACAGTTTGTTTATGTCAGCTTTTGGATAGAATCATTCACAGGCATGTTTGGCCTTAAGCTGTGTAACATTTTAGCTATTTCATTATAATCAAACACAAATTCAGACTCTCCACTTGGGAAAAATGTAAAACAGTTATCTAGGTGAGCTTTCAACACTCTCCAATTTACAATGACAATTCTGGTTTTTAACACATCAATTCTTGAAAGACTCACAAGATGGTAAACAGTGTTTCTCGTTATTAGCTGATGATGGGAAATCAACTCTCTCTAGTCAACCTCTATAAACAAGACTGCTAGGCATTCTGAATGGTATCTATAGATTTCTCTCATTAACTACACAATCAAGAGATCAACATAGCACTTCAGGAGATGGTTTACTAGAATGGAACATAAGCAACAAATGTGCATTTCTAGCATTCCAACTGGCTCACAGCTTTTGGAAAATTAAAACTCCATCCCATTTAAAGGGCCAGTGACAGAGTTCACTCCAACAGGTGTTTAAAAAGGACACCTGCTGGGATCAGACGCCCACCCCCCCCCCACCCCCGCTCCACCATGATAATATGTAGGTGTTCAAGAATTTCCGGCTGTCAAATTCTTAATGAGATTGTTTTTGAATAATATGTGCTTGCTGGATTTAGAAATCTCAGATTGAAGGGGTAAACTCAGACTACTCTGACACCATTTTATATATTTAAAGTATGGTGTTATTATTTATAGCTCTTGAAGACGCACCTCCCCGCCAAATCCTTATATTTGGGTTCTGTAAAATTAGTCTGGAAATGTCTAAACAAGTCATCTTCAGCCATTTGTTGCACATCAGAACTTCCTGAGCATCTTTTAGAAACCACTTAATCTGCGTCCCACCATAGATCAAGTTGATCAGCAATCTCTGGAAGCAGTATCACGTATCTATACACTTTTACAGCTCCTTGGGTGATTCTGATGTACAGTTAAGGGTTGAGAACAATAGTTCTAACCCCTCTGAAAGCCTCAGGAAGTTCCAGAGCCATAGAAGAATTTTGGGTTGGATTAAAATGATCCAAGGAAATCAGTAGCTGTCCAATGAGTCTGGAGTGTGATGCATTCATGGCAAAAGTATTGGGGACTCATAACTTGGCCTTGACTCCTGCCCCTGTTGTCCTAGACCCATAGGAATGAACAATAGCTCTGTAATGGCTAACACAGCTGTAAAAAAAAAAAAAAAAAAAGCAACGTTGATAAAAAAAAGACAGATGCAGAATGCAAAACTTTGCTATTATTTCTAGGTGAATTTTTAAAATACTTCCTAGTTGGGTGATTTTTATGGAGTGGTTGGTGAGATGCCTGGCTCACGGGCCCAGCCGCTCCGCGGCATGTGGGATCTTCCCGGACCGGGGCACGAACCTGTGTCCCCTGAATCGGCAGGGGGACTCTCAACCACTGCGCCACTAGGGAAGCCCCAACCAAGGAAATGTTGTTGCTTAGAACTTCATGTCTTTTTTTTTCCTCATTGAGATTACTCTTTAGGGAGTCGCTTCATCACAGAGACTCTGTACACTTTTCCTTTTTGAATAAATAGCTTTGTTTTTTAACATGGAAATCACCACCCGAAGAGACCTTTGTAAAAAAGCCAAACTATAGATGATTTAGCTTCTGGAGGTATCTCACCCCTCTAGCTCGTAACTTGGAGGGACGTTTTCATTCTTTCTTTTTACTCAGGAATTATTTGAAAATAATTTGAATCTATCCGTTATGTTCTACATTCTTTAGAGTTGATAATTTTGAGTGGGGAAGGAGACAAAATAAATTGGTTAAGTAAATGGCTCTTGTCCTATAAAACTTCTCTTGCCTGAAGGAGGTAACCGTGGAACACAAGTACCTAGCTTACTTACTACTGTGGGGTACCAGGTCCAAGGAATTAGGCCCAGATTTATGCAACTCTAAAATCCATCTGTGCAAAAGTGTTTATGAGAGGGACAGTTCCCAAGTGTTAAGGGAAATACATATCAGTAAGGCATTCAATTCCCGACGTTTGGTTGCTTAAAATCTAGCAAAGAGTATGAAGTGTATTTTCTAATGTTCCTACCTTAGTTTGAGATACAGATTTTTTAAGAGAACACTATTATTTACAGTTGACCCTTGAACAATGCAAGGGTTGGGGCGCCGACCCTCCTACGGTCAAAAATTCATGTATAATTTATAGTGGGTCCTCCATATCCACAATTTTTCTGTATCCATAGTTCCATATCTGCCCATTCAACCAACTGGATCATGTAGTATTTACTACTGAAAAAAATCTGCAGATGAGTGGATCTGCACAGTTCAAACCTATGTTGTTCAAGGGTCAGCTGTATTCTTTTTTTTTTTTTTTTTTGGTATAGGGTGAAAGCTGTGGATTCTCTTTCCAGAAAAGTGCAGATACTGACATACTCTGTATAACTTCAAGGAGCTTATAAACTCTCAAAATAGGTTAACAACATGCAAATAACTATATAACAAGAGAATAAGTGTGTTGGGTGAAGTAGAGAGATAATATATCATTTCTCAAACATACCTGACCATAAGATTCACCTGGGGCTTTGGTGATTAGAATCCACAGTCACTAATTTGTACAGGGTACTCTTTAAATAGTGAAATATGGAACTTTCAAGAACTACTAGAAAGAAACAAAGTTGCCTACATTTTCACCTTCTCTTTTCATTTCTGCTTATACACCAAAGGAGGTTCTAAAAGCAATGAAAATGTAAAGTTGCAGGTGTAATGATGATGAGACCAAGACATAGATGCAAAGTCTAGAAACAGACCAAGACATACATGCAAAGTCTAGAAACAGAAAAATAATACTGGAATAATCTTAACCTCTCTTTATCTAAAACTACATATCTATCCAGTATTATATTCATTTCCTTTCAGAAATAGATAATAACCATTAGTTTTTATTTTTCCATCTCTTCCAATATCACCAGCTTCCACAAAACCAAAGAGTAAGACTCAGATGTCCTTTATTATTCACCATAAGTGTTTCTTTTTTTGTCGTTGCCAGATATCCATGAATCAATTCTGTCATCATTTCAAAATAGCACAATTGGGTTCTATTCCTTACGACTGACCACTATTATTAAGAAGCAAACATCTCTCCTTAATACTGAAAACCAAATATGACCCAGTACAAAAATGTCTGAAACGTAAAATTTTATCTTCACCTTGATATTACAATAGCAGAAATGGCTCAGCATTATTCTACAAAGCAAACAACAGTATGTGCAGTGTTAAAGTAAGGTCCAAGAATCCAAACGGACATTCCAGATGGGATACAAAAGCCAGTAATTAAAAGCCAATGAAACAAAAGTCTAATGTGCCCTATTTACTTTAGCAAAATCTATAATCCAAATCAGTTTCAGAAGTCTACTCTAAGGGTCTCCAAGGAAAATCAAACAAAGTCTTAGCATCTTTTAACCCATGTGCAGATCAGTCACCACTGCTTGGCCTGTGCTCATCTGCTCTTGGGTATATTTTTATTTCCTGTTGAATTTAGTTTTATCAGTTCTTGGGGAAATCTATAAAATGTTTCAGTGAACACACATGAACTCTCATCTATGACTAAGATTTTTATTCTGTAACTTTTAATAGGTAAGATGCGATTCAGTCAGACAATCAATGTCTACTCTGGACTTAAAAATAATGCAAGAGCGCATCCTAGAATACAAACAGAAGCTCAGGACTCGTGGTCCCGGCTCTGTCAGTGACCTTGTATTTCCAAGTCCTGAATTCAACATGTAGGCCTTTGTATAGGTATCAACATACACTTAAGTAAATAAGTATGAGTTGTATAGATAAAGTCAGAGCCCTAGCTTACTTAAATGTTCAGATAAACTCCTAGAAATCCTTCCACTTTTTATGTGATCAAAGAACATTGATATCTATAAATAAATATTTACAGAAATAGTTAAAGGAGGTGAGAACTTTTTGACAGTCAGCCTTAAGCACAAAATATGTATACCTGGTCTATGATGCATGCAAGCTCTAATGCTAGCCATCTACTGAATAAACACTTAACTTGGTACACAGGATTTTATGTAATAACAGTTCTTGATTTAATAAAACTTGGTGCATTAAGTAATTTGTAGGTATTGAAGAGTAAATACAAATTCAGCCAGACAAGTAACTATATAGAGAGAAAGCAGAATTGAAAACTGGACCAATAATACTTATTTGCATATTTAACACAGATGTGATTTGGGCTTAAACTACTGGGACTATCACCTCATTGTGCTACATTAACTTTGTGTAGGTGAAAATAGTTACTACATGTCCTATTCCCCTGATTCTAAAATGTTTGGGATTAAATAAGCTTAGTCACTAAAATAAAAATGGATAGCCTTTATTAAATCTATAATCAAGTCACCAGTCAGCTCTTATTAATTTAATTGCTTTATTAAAAAGTCTCATTGTTAAACTAAACTTTAAAAGCAGAATTTTCTGACTTCATTGGAAAACTGTGAACCATTTTATTGTTCAAGATTTGTATAGGGAGTTATTTCCTGTTGAAATAATGTTTTTCAAATAACACTTTACAAAAGTCTCTATTACTATAAGGGTTTTTCAAAACGAAACAAAACAAAACCTTTAAACATAAGAAACCCTATTTCTAAAATTCTAAACAAAAAGGGACAATTTCTAATTTATTTGGCCATAAAGCATACAGGTATAGTCACTAGTCTTTTACGGTAGTGGTAAAAACTTGAAGAAATAAAAAGCTTGAAAGTAACTTAATGAATATAAAGTATTTCATTATGTCAGTTTTCTCCAGAAAATGTAATCTCTTCTTCAGGGAATTTGAGATAGCATTAGTTTGCTTTCTGTATTTCCAAAATTGTGGTTTTCAGAAACACAGTCTTTTTTTTTAAGTACTTTAGCCATGAAATAGTTCTACTTATTTTTCAAATACATTCCTTTGAGAAGATAAAGCCAACAGGAATACACAGGGAAATTGCATTGCTCATATCTGATGCATAATAAGAATAATAGTGATGCAAATACTTTGCATTTAGGAAGTACCTTTCTTTTCTTCCAAGGACTCTAAAATTTATTTCATTTAATTGATCCTCCCCGATTCTCTGTGAAGATGGGATAACAAATATTTTTACTTCTGTTTTGCAACTGGGTAGACCAGTTGCTGATAAGTGATTGATTTCAGTAATGAAACACTAGAATTAGAACTAGAAACCTTGGGCATGTTTCACATTGTAGCATATTTACACTTATTCCCAGAAATTCAATTTCCTTTAAACAAGATAGTAGAGAATCAGACAACTTTAAAGATGCTTTATCTCAAAGTATTAAGATATTAACATGGTTCAAAATATGGATCAACACCCTTGGGAGCTCATCTAATCCAACCTTCACATTTTAAAAAATGAACAAACTGGGCTTCCCTGGTGGCGCAGTGGTTGAGAGTCCGCCTGCCGATGCAGGGGACACGGGTTCGTGCCCCGGTCCGGGAAGATCCCACATGCCGCGGAGCGGCTGGGCCCATGAGCCATGGCCACTGAGCCTGTGCGTCCGGAGCCTATGCTCCGCAACGGGAGAGGCCACAACAGTGAGAGGCCCACGTACCGCAAAAAAAAAGAACAAACTAAGTCCAGAGATGGTAAGTGACTTAGCCAAAGTCACAAAGACTAAGGCATGAGGGACTGACATTTTGACTTGTGGTCTGTAATATTTTTTACTATCTGATTCTATCTTCACAGTTTTTACAATATTCTGATATTTGAAAAACAAAGGCAAACATTCAAGTTATAAAATATTTGAATAATATGTTATTTCATTACACATTTATGTCAAGAATGTGACTCCTGTAGCTAAGCACTGATGCCTTCTTGTCTGTGACGTGGCCTGTGGCTGTGTGTACTCCAGTTAGTTAAAAGGACTCAAAATGAAAATACACTGATGCTCAAAAGATAATTTTTTTAAAAATCTAAACATCAGAGCAGCATTTGTAAAAGATGAGTGAGGATAAGCTCCCAATGTTAGCTTGAAATGTATTGACCAACATGCATTTTTATTTATTCAGTTTTTAAATAGATTCCATATAGTAGTTTGAAATGAACTTTTCTTTTTCTGAAATAATGGCCTAAGTAAAGATATACTGCCATGAAAAAAATTGGCAAAAAGGAATTAAAATTGTTTTCCCTTTTGGTGTTTGTTACTTACCTTAACAGTCACTGGCCCAAAATAGAAAGTTATTAAGTTACTCAGTGATTATTATTTTTGCTTCAGAGAATACAGATACTTGCACGTTTGTATTCAACCAAAAAAAGCATGCAGTCCCCAACTTTATTTATGCCAGAAGAGATATTTCCTTCATATAAATGGATAGCCATCAGGGGCTAGTGGTCTGAGAAAGTTTTCTCTCATCTCAGTGCAATTTAATTTCCTCCTTCTCCCTTTCCCATACCTCAGAATCTCATCCTGAGTCTGTTTGTTTGTACAATTAATTTTTAATATTATAAATGAAAGACAAATCCTACATTTCATTTCAATTATTTTTACATAGAAAATATTCCAAGAATACTGTAAATATATTACAAGAATATGCTGTAAATATATCAGCACATATTGCTAAAAGGTAAGGATTCCCTTTTAAACATAGCCACAATATTATCACATCTAAGAAAACATTAGAAATAACCCATTGATATTATCAGGTATCAAGTCCATGTTCAAATTTTTCATGCTGAGCCTTTTGCTTATGATTGTGGACGAGGGTGGTCCAGACTGGCACAGCACAACTTCCAAAGGCCAGGAAGTTGAAGTTTAAGGGGAAAGAAGGTAGGTAA